TGACATTAAATACGAATGGCGTTGGCCGCTCAATCAAAGCAAAGCAATGATGCGTTTAAACAAATATCAAGAAACAAAGGGTAACGAATAAAAAGCAGGCGACTAAAAATTGTCACAAAATATATATGTCCAATACGCATCCTCCTAATACCCTCCTCCTCCTCAAAATTAATTACTTGAGGGTTGTGTAGCTCTTCCTTCCGGGGTCCACGTGGAATGACTGAACAAATCGCCTTTCCTGTGCACCATTTCTTGTGGTTTCCGAAGGCTGTATGCATTGTCTTGCAAAATCTCTTGGCTTGCCATTATCCAGTATTTCGGTAAAATCAAGTCCGTTGATATATGATGTCACGATGTTCCTAATGTGGCACGACCTTATTTGATTGGCATGGCGGATCCATTCCTTCATACCAATGCGAATCTCGTATTTCACCTGATCGCGCCGCCGCACTTCGACTCCAGGTCTCCATTTGATGCTGTTCCCCCTCACCGTGTTCCATGCCGCCTATCCCACTTGGTTTTCATTACGGGATTCGCACGACGCATCGGTTGGCATTTGGTAATCAGTAAGTCGAAAGTTGTTCTCAGTCTTCGACCCATAAGTATTTCCGAAAGGGACTTTCCATCCGGCGCATTTGATTTGGGGGCAACTGGATAATTCAGCTGGTGTGTCTCTAGCATTTCTTTCTCCTTTGATCGCAACAGCACTCGTTTCATTGTATCCGCAAATCGTTCGGTCTGTCCGTTAGATTGCGGGGGATTAGGTGTTGCCTTCAGGTGTTGTATTCCATTGCGTGCACAAAACAACAAACTGATACGACTGGAATTGCGGACCGTTATCCGGCACAATGGTTTCTGTTAGGCTATACTGGCTAAAAATGCGCCTCAATACGTCTAGTGTCCTGGTTGCTGATGTGTTTTGCATAAGCATCGACAACTATAAGGTAGGTAACTGCTTCAACCAGTCCCTGAAAATGCCCATGAAGTTGTGACCATGGTGATTCTGGAATGGGCCAAGACTGCGCGTACCTGCAGCTTGTAAGCATACGCGCCTTTCGATCTGGTAAGACTAATGTCCTCCATCTGGTTGTCAAGCTTCGGTCAAATGACGTAGCTTCGAGCCAATGCTCCCATTCGGGCAATTCTTGGATGACCTTTGTGGAGTTGCCTTAAAATCTTTTTCTCCAGGACTTGTGGTGTGATTATGCAATCGGCGAAGAACAGAAAGGTGTGAATTTGTTTAAAGAATCGCGCCGCGTGTAAAACTAAACAAGTTCTTTTGGGCATTTCCTTGAACACCCATATCTTCTGTAGATCACTTATTGTGGCTTACTGAGCCATCTTGGCATTGGTCGGTAAAGTGTTCTCAGCATTATTCACCATATAACTGACATCTGTTTCAGCTGCGATTGCGGTAATGGCTGCGTCTTTTTCGGTTTTGCGCCTGTCGATGTCGATTAGTCTCGATAGAGCATCTGCTTGTCCGATAAGATCGGTTGACAAATGTTTCATGGTGCAGCCATTATATAAGAGCAACGTCACCCATCGCTGTACTTGACTAGCTATGTATGTAGGGATGCTTTTCTTTGATCTAAAATTTGATTGAAGCTACTTATAGTCCGTTAGCAGTGTGAAGCGTCGTTTGTACAGCATTTTGTGAAACTTCTGAACATCAAGGACGATAGCCAAGGCTTCCTTCTCAATCTGACTGTTATTCTTTTCGGATGCTGTAAGAGGTCGTGCAACTCGACAGCTTTTTCTGAACCATCCGGAAACTGCTTTCGAAATGAAAGCCCCAATTTCATAGTTGGAAGCATTCGTGACCACGACAATTTCCAGCTTCGGCTCATAGTATGTAAGCGGTAGTTGTGACTTTAGAAGAGACCACAACTTTTCATATGATTACTGGCACTGTTTCAAGCACTTCCATTCAACATCCTACATCAGCAATTGATTCATTGGATACCCTAAACGATGAATATACGGCAAAATCCACCATACTTACCATTCCCCGGAACGATCTCAATGTCGCGATATTCGTTGGTACACGTAACCGATCTATCGCTTTGATGCTATCTGGATCTGGTATTCGGTCGTACTCAGCAATCACAAATCTTAGTAACTTGATGGAGTTCATCAAAATTATCCAGGCACAAGTGGAAACCGTAATCTTTGACTCTCAGCATCACCTTATCCAGTCACCGAAGCAGTACATCTTGCGTTCGACCCATTATGATAATATCAACAGGATAGGCTGCGCTTCCAGATACAGCAGTCAGCATGGTGTCCATAGTTTGCCGAAAAATTGCAGGTGTTGTTTTGACTCCAAGTTGCGATCGGTTGTATTGATGAGTGCTTACCGTAAGAAGTGTTCTGCTTTCCGGTTTAACTCCTAGTTGCAAATAAACATATGTGGACTCAAGAGCAGCAAAGCATTTTCCTCCACTCAGCTTTGCAAACCTCTTCGGGGAGTGGAAGTGGGTATTGATGAGGTTTCAGTGCGGTATTTACCCCAGTTGAGAAGTCGGTAAACAATCGGAATAGTACACTGAGGTTTCTTGATCACAATAGTGGCAACAGCCCCCAGTGAGAAACTGAGTTGCTGGATAACACCGGCCCACTGTTACCGTTCAAGTTCCTGTTCCCCGGGTATTATTGAAGCATAAGCGACTGGACGTCTAGGTCGAAATACTGCCTTTACGCCGAGAAAGGGAGTGCATTTTGCCTGCATTTTCACGCAGCGTCCAAGTCCGAATTGGAAAACATGAGCGTGTTTCGCGTAAAGCTCTTCGGGTAGACTTTCACTGAAATTAGTCAATATGGCGCGTCATGCATTTGTTTCAGAGCACACATTATTCAGGGGCTCGTCGAGTAGATTTAGCCTCACAATTCAATCCATTCCTCGTAGATTAATATAAGTACAAGAAGCAAGATGATGCCATGGAGTTGCACATTTTTGAATTCGAGTTTTTAACCAATTTCTTCGTTTAGCGACAATGGTTCGCCTGGTGCGCTTTGAGCCGTGAGACTTGTTTGACTGAAGGTTCGCCCAGCTTAGCCTATGCCGATCGGAAAATGATGGTCGTGTCAGGCGCCACATCTAGCTAAAATGATACCGGGACATCGTTGCGTTTCAGCGTTGGTTCTTTTGCTGTTGCTTGCGAAATACGACAAAAATCGCCTGCCTCTGTACACCTTAGAATCTGGTCCTTCTGTACTTGGAGTTCGCTTGAGCCCTAGAAGTGAACATGCATCCAAAGTTCTTCGGCCCTCAACAGCAGACTTCTTAAGACGAATGCGTTCACATTTGTAACATTAATGGTGTTTGTACGCGCAATTCTTCGCAAAGTGCCACTCGCTACAGTTTCAACACGCAGTGGAGAGCTTCCGATTCGGCACATTACGTTTGACCTTTTCACTGCGGATGGCTTTGCGACGGGTGTGGAGCTAGTTTCCGGAATCCAGATTTTCCACCATTAATGTGTCGTGTTTCAAGTTCAGCTACCTTTGCCACTCAGCTGCAATGTCAGCTGCAGTTCTTGTTTTAATTTATGAAGGACACGGGTTCGAACATGGGCGTCCGCGTGGGATGGAAGACTGCATACAAAGGCAGGGTTCTTGAGCTGGTCAGCTGTCATGGTGCCTAGTTGTAATCATTCACACAGCATTTTTACGACATCATGCGCCTCACTTTTGATCAATTTTAAAGTCTTATACCGGTTACTGAATAAGAACGGTTGCTCACCGATTATCTGTCAATCTTTTCACTGTCTCCTCGACACGAAAATCTTGAATTCTTGGGTAACGCAAAATTTGTATACTGTTCGTGCTCAACTGCTCCGAGTTTCCTCAACAGTAATCTGACTTTTCAGGCATCATCCTGCTTGGCTAACTCCATACGAAAAATATCTCCATACTTTTGGAACTACGATTCGCATGTGACCCCAGTTGATCCGTCGAAAGTAAACCCTGAATTCGGTGCTGCAATAGCATCCATATGAGGTCGTGCCACCGGTTCTGGAAATCCTGCTTGTATGTTCAGCTTTTGCAACAACAAGATAAGCTGCTTTGTTACTTTTCGAACTGCTGCTACTGTTCCTGAAGAAACGTCTGAATTTTTTCAAAGGAAACTGCCCTTTTACGCCAATTTCTCTGTAGTCAGAAACTGTTGTGTGGCCGCCGACTGTTTGCACCCCATGATCGCAAGGGGAACGCGGAAGCCGGGCCAGGACAGCGCTGAATGCATGAGTACGGTGCTTCGTCATATAGTCTACGATAGTGGATGAAGCAATACTCCTAGAACATGTTGAAGTCAACCAGCATCATAGGACACACTGAATGACATCGACGATTGAGAAGTAGTGAATGAAAGGAGCAATCAGACAACTACGAGTAGACAGTATTAGCGGAATTGGGCCCCTGAGATGGCATCCATTACAATTGACGTAGGGCGACCAATCAAAGCAAAGAAATGCTGCATTTAAACAAATGTCAAGAAAATAGGTGGCTAAGAATTGTCACAAGTAAATGTCCAGTATTCATCCTGCGAACATTCTTCCACTTCTTAGGTTTAACGACTGTGACTTTCATATTTGTTTTTATTATTTTTCGATCTTTGCTCATGGCTAAGGCAGTTTCGTTGTGGCTCAGATTTATGAGTATCCGATGTTTGAACTGTGTCTGTCGTCGGATTGATATAGGTTGCGGTTATCTCTATGGCCATTTGCCTGTTGATCTTTTCTTATACACTACATGTTAGTCAGTTAATGTGCTGGCGCTGCTTATCTTATTGATCTTTATCCTATATCTTTTAATCTTGCTTTGGACCAACTGATTTCCATGTTGTCGCCTGTAGCTGTTTTCCATTCTATCGGTTACCTTTCCGCTATTTGTCAGAAGTTTTGTTTGGATTTGCTTCAACTGGTCTATGTTTGGACACTATGGTTGCCCGACGAACTATTCACCACTTGTAGCTGCTTTTTCGTCTTTATTTTCTGCAGTTTTCACAGTGCCGAGGTTTTATCCGGTTTTGTAAACGCCCTGTTCCTTCTGATTATCTCCGGTTCGGTATTCGTCAACGCACTCGCTCGGATTCATCGGCCGCCTAATATACAAACGGATCGTTTAATGGTTAGTGATCCAATTTTCATGTTGCCAGATATTGGGCTTCGCGGTTTCCTACTTTTCTCTGCTTATGTCAGGGTTGAATTTTGTACCGCGTTTTTTCAGTTGTCAGATTTCGGTTATCCCATCGCTTGTCTTCCGGATACCTTTCGTTACCCTGGTGTTCATTGCACTTACTGTATCGAGGAATAACTTTTGATCGTTTATTTTTGTCCACTGTTCACTTGAGGCTTCTGCGGTTGTATGGAATAATGGACTCCGGTTCACTGTACAGCCCACTGAGAGCGCCTAAGGAATACACAGGAAACCACTGTCCTTAAGCTTTACTTAGTTATGTTTCTGGTCCCAGATGTGCCGAAGATTCATTAAGGCTGTTCCAGGTTCCGCCACACCAGACTAATAGCGTTCATTTTTAACACTTTGTATGCGCGACCCAGCGCTAAAACTTGCAATCGATTACAAAACAAATTGCGTACCCGTGAAGGATACCAAAACAGTGTTACTGATTTTGGTTTCGTTATACTGGACGCTGTCACATCCCAAATTGCTTTACGTGTGTTTGTGTGTTGCGTGACTTTTGTAACGAGGATGCACCGCTCATTTATGTTCCACGCTAATCGAGAGCCTCGCGAATGGCGGGAGGCGCACAGTTCAGAGACATCAAAGCGTTCGATGCGAGACGTTTTACAATTCCATAACAAATGACTACGCGGTTGCTCAACATTGAATTATCTAATCTGATAACCAGGCCTGGTAGAAGACGTGATCGCACAAAATGAAACATTGTGCATGTTGGCCAGTACTTATTTGATTTGCTTTTGCGAGGACTTTCTGTTCAGTTCAGCTGAACAACCATGATCTCGGCACCGACGTGCGGTGGATCCAGTTGCCACGACTCACTTCGCCAGAAAAATTATGAATAACAAAGGCATGTCAGGGAAAATGATCGCAAAAATACTAAAAAGAAGTACGCAAAACCGGTCGGGATGGAAAAATATCAACGGCTAGTTGCAGGTAATTGAATGGGCGAATGCCATTGACTACGCGATTGCGCCATATCTGATAGAGTCGCTGACCACTGATGTGCACCATCCGAGGTCCCGTCCACAAAGACTACACTCAAGAGCTTGACAAACATGTTTAGGCAGTTTCCTCAGGGCCTTATGCCAAGTCAACAAATGGTCACTTCGCGATTTCGCCCAACTTTGTGCAGTGACAGCGTATGATGCACGCCGACGAATCCCGTCAACTGGTATATGAAAGACATGACTTAGTCATCGTAAGCGGTTAAACATTAGCAAACACCTCATTGAGGCACCAGAAAATTTCTTGCCAAAAACCCACTAGCGAACCTCCACTGCTCATTCGGTGCTCCCACCAGATGTGAGCAATACTCCGCGTGTACCCCTGATCACACACAGCCAGTAGCTTAATGTCTTCAGTAAGAAATAGTCAGATCTCTGATCCATACAGCAACAGAAGCATTTTTCCGCCGTTATTCACCCTACCTTTTAGTGACAGACTGATGTCCCACTGTCTCCATAGACGGTTAAGCCATTGATATTACCCACAAGGTGTTGCTAATGGGCGCAGTCACTTCATCGGTAATGTCATCACCAGAGGTGTCATGCCCATCAAAGTTTATGAGCCGATCTACCACTTCCTGCATCCATTCGGTGATGTCTAAAAGAGGTGCCGTATCTGTCCAGTTCTGGAAAAATACCGCACTTTGAAAATGCAAAGCACACGCCGGAGGTTGCGGCGCTACGCATCATTCAATCCAGTAGTGCATGCATAACCATTGCGTTTAATATATCGTCTGCAAACTAAAGATTTAACAGTCGGTCACCTGACAGAATTTCCACTCTGGAATTCGCTGAGTAACCGCGGCGAACACCACTAGTCGTAAGGAGCTCACGAGACGCCTTCCCGTAGACTCTCACTTAGCCTTTGGAGTTGCGATAGAGAGATTTCAGAGCGGAAGGGACTTTCTCTGACGCTCCTCATGGATATGTAGGGCTACAGTCTGGTTCGGTCAACGGAGTTGTGGATGGTTTTCGAATCAGTGAAATCCACCACATCCATATGGCTGTACTTGTGTCTTTGCTCTAACACTTGATAAATGATAACTGTGTGGTCGATGAAACAACGATCAGGACGGAATCCATCCAAGCGTGCAGTGATTTAGATTTCACGGGGAGCAATAACTCGTCGAAGAATGATACCTGTCAAAAGCTTGAAGGCAATAGAAAGATGGCCAACGCTTCGATGTGTTTCACACAAAACCTGTTGACATTTATTGACGATGGTCCACGGCGTTTAACAGTCGCCAGTATGAAGGCACTTCTTCAGTGTCCGCAATGGGGTTTACTGGAGTGTCAAGTCCAGCCAACAGAGTCACCTCTAGATTTAAGCAAGCAGGGTGAAAGTCGTCGGGTGAATGAGCCTTGTTTAGTTTCGACACAGCAAGCTCATATCGAATCTCTTCTAAAGTGGTAGGTGTGACCAACATCCTACGTCGCCTCATAATCCAGCAGACGGCATTGTCACAGCAGGTCTGCTGAATTGTGCTTCAACATGTTCCGCTCAACGGTATAGTCGACTTGACTGAGAACGGATCAAGTGTCCGTTGACGATGAAGGGCACCTGTTTGATTGGGAGAAGCCGGAGGTGCTAGCGCAGGGAGAGAAGAAGAGGAAGAGAATTTCTCAAAGCATGGTTCTCTCCGGCGAACTCGATAAACCTGTGCTTTGACTTAAACCCGATCTACCATCAACTGCAAAAAGGAACTTAGGGCAGGTCATTCACCACATGAGCCTAAAAGAGGCGGCGATCGAACTTCAAACTAGCAATGGTCACGGGACTTGAATTAAAGTGGCCAAGTTCGAAGTAGTTCAGCTCCGAGGATAAACCTAAACCTGAACGGATCAACTGTCCCTTTTTCTCAGCTATTATCAGTGATACTAGTTTTTCTCGCCACATAGGCCCTTGCCAACTCACCCAACTTTCCCATTCAATTCGAGGACTGCAACTCAGTAGTCGTTACACGGAGTTATGGATACGATAACACTTAGTACCCAAGGGAACTCTGTTCCCGTGTTTCCATCAAACTGATCGACGCGTCATAGATCCATACAATAGGCGTCAAATGCTTTTTTCAAGGCAGGAAGGCTGGAAGGATTCCAGCCAGCGTTTGGCTCACTCACCTTCATCACTGACAATTGATGAGCCAGCTCAACATGAATACTGAATACTGGTTCGAAGCAGCGAGTAGAGCTTTCTCTGTGTAGCTGCATCATTCGTCGCTCTTGGACATATACTTCTTATTCATCGTTACGCTCTCTATATTTTGCCTCTGAAAAGTGTTTGTCTAGGAGCTTCTTAAATTCCGACACTGAGTTCGCCTCTACTATATGCTGCGGCAGGTCGTTCCAGACATTCATCACTCTGCGTTCGAAACAGAGTTGGTGAGCGACCCGCTTCAAATCCGGTACGATAAGTTTATACCGGTGTCCTCGCGTGCAGCTTGGTGTGCGCAGATGAAGCAGTTGTCTCAACATGGGGTAATCACTCAGATGTATAATCCGGTGCGTCATGATGAGGTCAACCGTCAGTCGACGATAAGCTAGGGTGTATAGCCCTAGTTTCTTACATCGGTCTTCATATGGCATACCTCGTAAGTTGGGAATCAGCCTGGTGGCTACATGCTGCACCTGCTCAAGCTTTTCTACCTCGCCCAGGGTGATGGGACAATACGCGGGAGAGCTGTACTCTAGCATTGGTCGTATTATCGAGACGAAGATGCGAGTAGCAATCTCTTCGGACCAAGTGCTGAAGCTGCGCCTGAGCGCCCAAAACATTCGTAGGCTGTTTTGGTACAGCCTATTCGTGTTGTCAATGGACATTAGGTCGCAGCGTGAGAGCACTCCGAGGTCGCGCACGAAAGACGCGGGATGCAGCGGTTGATCAGCCACTTTGTACGTTCGGCTGTGCTCACACTTACCCAACCTCATGAATTGCGACTTGCCAGGGTTGATCGGAAGGTTAACTTCTGCAGACCATGTCGAGAGGCGGTCGAATTGCGGACTTCGAAGTTAGGCACTTCTTTGAAACAGCAGGAGTGAGCGTTAGTCATGCGCACGCTAGAGGATGATGGGAATCCCGGCACGTGCTGCAAATTGGCCGACAGCCCTGAACTGCAGTGTGTCATCAATGGCTGATTACAATTAGGCGAATTTCGCTCTAGGTACTCGAGAAACTCGGTGGGCGGCAGCCGACACGATGTGAACATTTATGCTGGAAGTTGATGCTACTAATCTAAAGATTGTGGTCGACCGTAGCAAAGGGAACCGATCACCGTTGCACTTTTCGACGTGCATCAACGCCGAAGCGATCTCTCATGTGTTGTTCACAGTTCGATAGATGACCCCCTTGAGCATTCATGTCACCAGCAACAATCTAACTGCCAGTAATTTCCACCACTCGGAGAAGAGACGAAAGTTGGTGTGATAAATTGTCTCTGACACTCCCTGAACTGTAGCTGCGAAGTGCATGAACTGAGGCGATGTAAAGGCACCTTGTCCCCAGAAGGTGCTTATTATCCCCAACAGAGATTTGAAGTCAAATAGCACACATGCGGATATTCACTGACATCCAGCCGAGTGGATTGCTTTCAGTTTGTTTGCATCGGACCACGGCCAGCCACAGGTGGAAGTTGACGGGTTTGCATCAAGATGTCCACAAGCTGTCTGGCTTGAGGCAGGCTGTAGCGAACAACTGAGTACCGGGCGATGCCGTCCCACCGTCAGAGACAATGCATGGTGCTCGTATTCTACGCCAGTCGCGCTGTGAGCTTGCAACCCGTATATCTGTTGTCTTCTATGACTATGTTTTAAGATGAGAGATCCATCGACCTGTCCCTAACCTACGAAAACGGTTGTGCGACTATATTTGTCTGTCCCCTAATCATTGACCTGTCTGGTATGATTGGCTATGAAAAAGCAGTTGGAAAGTGCAACTCAGCGTAGCTCACTGCGGTAAGCAAGCCATCGCGCGACGTTGAGCCCCAATCTTGTCTGGATCGTTATGAAACCGTTCCATTCACTTTCCGTCGCGGATGACCATATTAATTTCGTACAGTAAGCTAAGGTCTAAGAGGTAGTTTACAATGAGTAATCAACGTTGCAGTTGAAGTACCCACCGTATAATTGGATTGCGACACGCAATCTTTATTGAGACGTCGCTTCACTTAAGTGAACCTCAGTCATTCCGATCACAACCACAGTATCAGCACGACCGGCACTTTCGTCTTGCTTTAGACTCATCAAGTGGAGACGTCCTGAGCTGGGGTGGAACTTGAAGCCTAGTGGTTCACAGCTGATGCCTTGATCACTATGCCAGTAACATCCGTGAGAAACGCTTGGCACAGCCTTAAAGAATTCAAAGTTGGAGTTATCAGTGTTTGGGGAGCTACACCCGAACACTTTCGTTGCGGATGCGGTCCTTGTGATCAGAATGACCGAGGTGTACTTCATAGTGATCCCAAGTCTCAATAGACATTGCGCGTCGCAATTCAACCACATAGCGGGCACTTCAACAACAACTTTGCATTTCTTACCGCTGTGCCAAGCATTGCTCATGGATCTTAGTGGTATAAGGATCAAGCCGCTAGTCGTGAACCACTACGCTTTTACTTTCACCCCAGTTCAGGCTTTCTCCACTTGGTAAGTCCAAAGCAGGATGAAACTTTCGGTTCTAGGGTGTCAGTGTTGGAGGGAGTAACACCATTTACAATGACTATTCTTTCTTATGGCATGATCTGTGTACTCCGATGGCGGATTGTTTCGCGATGTCATCACTCGTTAGTGCCTCTACATGAGCTTTCTTCTCACCACAAGTCCCATATCGATCTCCGTGCATTTCCGCCATTGTTGGTTAAATTGTTGTATGACTTGTCTTCATTGAAAGGACTCCTGCAATCAGGTGAATCTTCCGTATAGTTGACCGTCCGGCGGTAAGCTTGGGGGTAGTTACATTATCGTTGAGATGTGGCATACCTTGTCCAAATTCGTTGATAGTACTACCCTGTTCTTTTTGCATTACTTCAGATACGATTAGTTGCCATACCCATTCTGTCTTGTTTTTGTGAATTCAGCACATTTACTTTGACAGATTTTATTCTTACCTCACCAGTTCATCTTACACTCTTATCTATCTATCTATCTATCTGCCTTTCGTAGGCTGTTTCTGTTGCTGGACTCCTCGTCAATCTTGTCGGTGTTTTGGCTCTCGGTCACGCCCACAGTCATGGATGCAGTGCTAACCATGGTCACAGTCACAGCAACCCTACAGCTTGTGAAAATCACATTCACAGCCATGAATCTTCTTTTCGTAAATTAAAGCATCCGCCTACTCTGAACCATACGAAACGATTCGATCAGAACAGACATAATTATCCTCGACGTTCCAACGACGGTGGAGATGCAAATCTCCGTGGTGAGTGCTCGCTTTCACCCCCCTTTCCGGATTCCATCACAGAGGTTACATTTTGTTTCCTTCTTGGTGACATTATTGCTACCAGCTTGTTACCAATGTTATTACGCTTTTGATCTTGAAGTGTAACTGCTCATATATCTGCTCAGGCATTTGCATTTTTAATCTAATTAAAGGTCGTTCGAGTTGACACACTTGCCAGCGGATAGGTCAACTTCCGGGGTTCTGGGGGTTAGGTACTCGTCGGATGCGGTTTCAGCATCTCCTTGGGTTTTAAAGTATTTCTCTCGGAGGAAGTTATCCAATTACTTGAAGAATTGGTAATGGGTAGGCAAGAGGTCGGAGTAAGTCAAGTCAAGGAAATGCTTTATGCATCCAGAACGGATAAAATTTCAGTCATGAAGCTAAGTTTCATAGCCCAGAGTGTTCAGCTTCTGCAGGGTTGGTTGTGCGATGTGCAGCCTAGCGTTATCGTGAAACATTATCGGTCCCCTTCTTTTGATCAATATGGGACACATATGTTGAAGTTTTCGGCACTTTTCGATAATTTATTGACATCTCTCCGCTTTAACGGTTTCATCTGTGTCTAGACAGTTGTGCTTGTTCAGATCACCAGTCACCATAACCTTTTCGGGTTCAATTTCGGCTGTTAGAATTGCTGTGGAGCTTGATGCTGGTTCAGCCTTTGAGCATAGCCTCGTCGATTGTCTTTCTTATTGCGCAGAACTCGGGCAGACGACACTTCAAAACGGCGATTTCTTTTCTTTTCATCTAATTCATGTTCCGCTCATTTACAAAATGTTTTCAACATTCTATTTTCCCATCCACCATCGAAATCTATTGTATGCGGATTCGCTTCAACGAAGGTTCTTATTTGATCGTTGTCCACATGCGATGGCTGTCCACAACGCTCTTTAATGTTTTCGCCATCTGTTTGATACTTTAAAACCATTATTGTTCTAGGTACGATGATTAATGATTCCGAGACCAAATGCACTGTTGATATCGCGAGCTGTTTCCGCTGATTTTCGACCGACTTTAGATTAAAGCAAGCAAATTGCACGAATTTGTTTTCTGTCCATGTCATTTTACATGTTCCGTAACTATAAACAATGTGTTTTCATACCAAATTGTCAACTCTGACACTTCTTTAATTTTATTGGCCGGCACATGTCGTTCTCAATGCACATTTCTCTATTCTCGACTTCCTATAATTCCTTGAAACACTGAGTCCCCTTCAGCCACTTCATTAATGCAGTAAGAAGACAGAGGTTGAGACATGTTAACATTTCGATTGCTCTCGTCAGTCGCGACGCAATACAGGCAAGACAAAACACGCAATATATAGGGTCCACATTTAGTAACAAAGATGCTAAGGAAGATAAGAATGATAAGAATGACGTAATCAGGTCCAAGGCAATCTAATTGATTGCCTCAATTGTTTCTGGGCACAGAGCACGGGACAATTCAACCTTATCAGTAGCGCCTCACCAATTGCCAACAACGTCGGGTTCCTGTTGCGCAAGCTTTACAAGCGTTATGTTGATGATATTCTCGTCTTCACCAATGAGGAACATTTTGGCCGTCTTTCTACCCTCCTGAACTCAATTCATCCTAACCTTTCTGTATCACAGGAGAGGGAACAAGAGAACAGACTGCCGTTTTTGGACGTGCTCATCAAAAGAAGGACCGATGGCACACTGCAGCTCACTGTGTACAGAAAAGCGACCTGGGGTGGACAATACCTACATTTTTCCAGCTTCGCCCCGGTCGCATACAAGCGCGGCCTCGTAAAAAACTCTCTTCTACAGAGCCAGGCGGATTTGCAGTCCGGAATTGCTCAAGGCTGAAGAAGAGTTTTTATACCGGACTTTGCTAGCCAATGGGTATCCGGAAAAATTCATTCAGATTCATAGCAGACCCCCGAAGGAGAAACTGCCAGTACAAACAGCGGAGAAGAAGGATATTTATTCTTACCGTTCAAGGGGGATCACGTGGCAAATGGAGTTGGTCACAAGCTGAAGTCCGCTCTAACGCGCACCTACTCTACCGCACAACTACGACTTATCCACACTACACGAAGGATTCCTCTCCAGAGCCGTCCGAGTAGCTCGCCAATCAGTTCGGCCTCTAACATCATCTATCAGTTCACTTGCAGTTGCGGTGACACTTACATAGGCAAGACTGGTCGCCGGCTGGCTCAAAGGACGGCGGAACACTTCCCAATGTGGCTAAGGCAGTTGCTGTTTAACCAAGGCCGAGCGGACCAAAGAATGAACCGGAACCCTGCCTCGTCTATCACCAAACACCTCATGACCACTCGTCACCAGGTGAACCCAATCGATTCATTCAAGGTGTTATTGCGCAACAGGAACCCGAGGTTGTTGGCAATTGGTGAGGCGCTACTGATAAGGTTGAATTGTCCCGTGCTCTGTGCCCAGAAACAATTGAGGCAATCAATTAGATTGCCTTGGACCTGATTACGTCATTCTTATCATTCTTATCTTTCTTAGCATCTTTGTTACTAAATGTGGACCCTATATATTGCGTGTTTTGTCTTGCCTGTATTGCGTCGCGACTGACGAGAGCAATCGAAATGTTAACATATCGCAACCTCTGTCTTCTTACTGCATTAATGAAGTTCCTATAATTCCGTTTTGTCAGACACACCTGATTAGTACTTCTCATTCGCCTGTGTCTTTCATCATCCTCTATGTTGTTGGTTGGCTCCGATGTGCTTTAATAACTGTGCTACTACCACTGTCACACTGTGTAGGCGAAGCAGTATTGTCATGGATACAATTCTTTCCCAGCTCGTCTTTCGTTGTTCTGATTGCTATCTTGTTGGGTGCAAACGTGTGTTGGCGATACAACTTTCACCCCTGCATTTGTATATGCTTTTAGCTTGGGATTTGTCTGTTCACTTTGTTCTCCGAGCTGTTTGGTTTGCATCAGATTTAGTCGCCGAACTAGCTAGTGCTCTCGATTCGACTTCGATTGCAGTGGTTTGATTACATCACTAAAATGATTTGATTGTCGAATCTCAGTCAATCTGGTGAAACACATTGACCAGGCTATGGTTGGAATTTCCCCAAATCTGCATACAAACGTGTAATTTTAATTATGTCTGCCGATAGTCTGCGTTACTTTAACCTCGTACACTATGTGTCGTAGTTTCTATTTATGCGGTTTACCTCACATCTGACGGTTCTGTCTACTACTCGTGAGGAGCCATCTTCGAATTGATTTTATCGCTTTTTGCGGACTTAAATATAGAGAGAAGCATTTTGCACATCATTGTGGTGTAACTCCCCCACTATTCGATACAGGAGCCAGGAGCATCCTGGTACCTTCCTGTTTCTGGGTGGCAGTTGGTGATTGGATATACGCGCCAATTTAGTGAATGGCAGGTGCGGCGTTTCACCATGTTCACACATATCTCGACGGTTTTCCGATTCAACCACGCCCATATATTGCCTTGCGTGTATTGCAGTAGTTCGCCATCCTACCTACCTTCCTTCCCGTCTTATTTGACCATATCAAAGTTTACAAGAAACTTGCAAGACTGAAGCCAAGTAAGGCTAGTGGCCCTGATTCTCTGTCACCCAAAGTCTTGAAAGTGGGCGAACGCATTACAGTCACCTCTGACAGAGCTTTTCAACCAATGTTAAACGACTGGCACTATCTCCGACATTTGGAAAGCAGCCTGAATAACAGCTGTGCTTAAGAAGGGATCACGGAACTATCGGCCAATAACGTGTACCTCCCTGATGCTGAAGGTGTTTGAAAAACTACTAGTCCCTCGAAGCTTTACACACAATCATAAGATGGATATCAACCAGTTTACATACGAGTTATGACTCTGGATGACTTTGGATGCCGTTTTGTATGTTGTGCATTCCATTGCATCTGCTCTGGATACACAATGCAAGACTGTGCGGCTCCTGTTGCTTGATTATACTAATGCCTTTGGGATCAATGATAGATCGCCACTACTCAACCTTTTGTTCGAACACGGCGTTCTCCCATACGAATGTAATGTAATGTGTGACTATTTTACGAATCGCACCGACTTCACGCAGTTATGCGATAGACCTTCTGCAATCCCAACTAATTGTGGGGTTTTACAAGGATATATTCTATCCCTCTATGTTGAGTGTGTTCTCATACCAACCAGTTTCATCCGGTGTTAATACGCTGCTGGCGTTGTCCTAGGGTGTATGACCCCGGTAATTGGGGAATTTTTGAAACTCCAACGTGGATTAGCTGAACTCTTGACGTGGTCAAGCTCATGTTTCCTCTTCCTTAACCCTTCTAAGTGTTGTGCTGTCTCATTCTCTTTTCTCCATTCCGACAAACTTCACTCCTTTTTAAACACCTTTTGGTTTTGAGTAACCAAAGTATTCCTCGTTCATATTCCGTAAAGTACCTCCATGTCATCTTGTCCAGCAATTTATCCTGGTGGGCGCATATTCTTGAAACTTTTCAAAAAGTCATAGTATTATCCTTTTACTCTCTTAGGCTCAAAATACTCTCCATACCGCGTGCTCTAATTCTGGGTTCTGTAAATGCATGTATTCTCCCTCATTGGCTGTACTGTTCTTCTGCTATTCTCCTCCGGACTACTTCAAAAGAATTATATTCTTTTTGTGTGATCACTAAAATTTATTTCCTGATGCTCTGGAGTAAACAGAGAATCCCTTGTTGATTTGGTGGCCAGCAAGCATTTTTAACTTCTCATCCAAGATTCTAAACGATCTCTCTCACCCCCACATGCCGCTTTAGCTAGTTCGGAATCCATTTCTTCCACGCGATCGAAATTTAAAGTTTTGTTTTCCCGTACCTCTTCATATCGCAACTCATTTTGCCGTATCTGTCTCGTTTGTTAGTCGACCCAAAAGTAATGATTCAGCAATTGCGAAAAGTTTGTTTACTACAGGATGAAATTTTTTGTTGTTCCTGTCAATTCACCACATTTTCCCGCCGATTTTATGTTGTAGTAT